TGCCACAGCAGCTGCTGCTGCTGCTGCTGCCTCTGCTGCTGCTGCGGATCTTTTTATATTGCGCTTGCTCTCCCTCTCCACTCCCGCCAGCAGCACATCCTTTGCAGGCCTCCTCTTCTTGGATTTGCGCCACCGAGCCACCAACTCGGGCCACTCCATGTCGTAGCTCAAAAGAGACACGGTCATGAGCTCACCAAGCTTGGCGTCGCACAGGTTCCCCCTTCTTAGAATATAGGCATGAGTGTGTGATTAGGTCAAGGGGGGGATACAAGAAGAATGTCGAGAGAAATATTGTACCCCCTAGTGCTAACCCCCATACAGCCTAGATAACCTAAACATGAATATATGATTTGACACCCCTCAGCCAGCTCTTGATCACGTTTTGCCGCGAGAATCCGCGTTCGCAATCCACAGTGCTCAGCGGGAGCACGGCTACGGCGATCCACAGGCGAACAGTGTTGGGGTAGCTCGTTTTCCAGTCCGGTGAGCTCAGCATGTGCTTCAGGCCCTCCGCAAAGCCGACATCCTCTTGGTGGGTGCTCATGATTGTCGCGAATGTGTTGAGCTTCCGCTGTGCTTTAGCCCAGTCCACACCTGTACGAATGGGCGGGTGAATAATGGAAGAGAGAAATGCGTAGAATGAGAAAATATGTTTAGTGACGCAGATAAACAACCGTATAAACCTCATACTCTCGCGACAATAGGCCTAACACACCTGGCAGAGTGTCCAGATCGTCGGGATGCCTCTTATACATGTCGCGCAGAGACTGCAGCCACTGCGCCAACCGCCGCTCGCGCTTTGCCTGGGACTTCGGGTATTGGGACTTCTTGAACAGCTTCGCGCCATTGAGCGACGCGAGATCCTGCAGTCGGTAGTCGAGCTGCTTAATCAGCTCAACAACGAGATCCCGCCCGAGCTTCAAGCAGGAGCTCAGGTCGCCTTTGCTCTTTTGCCCCAGAATAGCCTCTTCGTGCAGCAAGTAGCGGTGAGTTGTTGGCGCTCCGGTGGAATCAGGGCCATCGACCTTCACCTCCCGGCACTCCCCCGAAGCATGTTTCGCCAGGAATGGCCCTAGCGCCGCGCCGCCTTGCCCGAACGTCTCGTCGTTGCTGTCGAGGTAACGAGTCCGCAGCAGGAGTGTTGTGTTGTGTACCGTCTGCAGCACATGGGTGGCGTCAATCTGCACAAGCACAACGCAGAAAGTAGTTAGAATGTGACCAAATAAAACGGGAGGTTTCTAGCGCAAACATTAACACGTACCTGTCGTTGCTGGAACTTCAAGTTGAGCAGGTTCAGCTCCTTCAACACATCGGCAAGCAAGTAGAGTAAGAAGTGGAATTTTAAACTCGTCACCGTCGCATACATCTTACTGTCAAATTCCTGCAAGACGATCACAACTGCAGGAAACACCGCGACGAGTCGCTGGATCGCATTGCCTCGTGAAAGTCACCTCACGTCTTTTATCCCCTGCATCTCGAGATGCGTCTCGCAAATAACCTCTTGAAGCTCCTTGAAACGCGTATGAACCACAAGGCGCCCGAGAATGTCGACCACAGACCGGACCGCCTTGTCCACAATCTAAAGGTCTGGGAACGCGGTTGCTGCATCTTTAGCTGCCAGCGCTTCCCTGCAAGTTTAAACTGGAAACAAGTCAGAACACGCTTGATATGCAAATCAATAAACAACCATAACGAACTCGCCTGTGAGCGACACAGTGACAAGAAACGAGATGAGGAAACTTCGAGCGCAGGCGCGCGACCAACCCGTTGTGCTGGCCAGTCATCACAGAAGCGCCGTCCGTGCTCATACCGAAGATGCGCTGCAGATCGATCCCCGTTGTCTCAAAATGCGTCAGTAGGCCGGTCAGCAGCGAGGCGGCATCACACTGCTCCACCGAGAGCACGGTGTAGAACTCCGTGACTGGAAGGTTGTCGCGTAGGAATTTCATACAGACGATCATATGCTTCCCGCGCCTTCGGTCCGTGCTCTCATCCAGCTGGATCCCAAGAAAAGGGCTGTCGCGGATGTACTGCAGCTGACGAGACCGCAGGTATGACACCATCGTTGCCACTAGCTTAGCAAAACCATACCTGTAACACATAAACAATGAGTAGCCGTGAGAATTGTGGAGCAGAAACACAGACATGCGGGATAGAACATCTTACTCACTCGTTGTAGTACGTGTCATTTTCCTTCAAGGGCATGTCCGGCGTGCCCTGCTCAGCCATGAATTGCACAAGGGCAACGAAATGCACAATAGGGGCGTCAGGTTTGCAGACGAATAAAGCGATTGCCATTAATCTAGCAATTCGCCTGGCGTCGTCGTCCCCCTTGTCGAAGGCGACGATGGACTGCTGCCCTTTCTTCAGGCCATCATGTAGCTCCTTCTGCAGCACCGACGCCTCGTGCTTCACGCTGCGCATCGTCTGCTTCTGAATGTCGAGACCGCCCTCACTGTAGCGGCCGTACTTGTAGTGCGGGTCCCCGAACACCATACAGACGCTGCAGTGCATGCAAGGTCGCACGTCCTTCGTCTCACTGATGAAGAGCCACGAAAAGTAGCGAAGCCACTGCTCCTTACACTTGAGCTGCAGCTCTTCCACAGACAGCGGCCGACGTCCCTTAGTATTGCCCTTGTCCTCTGCTTCGTCATCGTCATCGGCGGATTGACGAGTCGCGGGCGGGACCGTCTCCGATGGCGCGGGCAATGTCGGACCTGCGGGACGGGCAAAGTTAAGCCGCCGCTGCTGTCCTTGTATTTAGCTTTCACAGAAGCCCTGTCAGGCAGCACAGGGTTAGCCCGTAGATTGGTGGTTGTTGCAACAGAAACAACGGGGTGGATGAATTCACGGCCAGATGCTGGTATACTCGTCGACGTGTGCGTGGTAGCCTTGGGCATGCCATCGTCCACATTTTCTTCGGCCACAGTGTCTGGTGAGGCGTTGTCCGCTGGTATAACCCAGGTTGAGCACGAGACAACGGGGGGTGCAACGACGGGGATCGACTTGCCCCGTGTGAGAAAGTCTAGTGCTGAGACTCAAGGGGGGTCTTTCTCCTCTGGAATGGCCATCAGGGCGTATGGTGAAAGTGCTAAACTGCACTGCGGGGCCAGTCGAGTGCAGCGGAAGAAAAGGATGTAGAAGATGGAGGGTGTGCCCCCAGCCTGGTCCCTCAAACCTTCGTCTCGTAGCGCGTCAGAGTGATACGCGGTGCGGGGTGTGGGCGGGGAACCACAGTTACGTGCATCCGTGATGCATACATGTCACCCCATTGCACAAAATGACAGTGTCGGTGCCTGGGTGTGGCTGGCATCGGCGCCGACACCCACGCAGCGACAAAGTGCTGGCAGCATTGCACATAGTTAACTACTGCCAGCGGTGCTGTTTCCTCCAGCGCGGATGCTACGGGACAGAAGCATTCATTACGCATGCATGTATACAGGCTGGCAGATACCCTAACTGGTGGCCCTATGGACAAGTGGGCAGAAATGTCGGTTTTAGATGAAATCGTACTCGTTATCTGGAGTCTCAGATGAAGAATAGTATGCGATCTGAAAATGTATCTGAAGGAAAATCATTTGTCTTACTGATGATCTGAAAACAAAAGTACAGTCTTACAGATCATCTGAAATAAGAAAATTAAGTCTGAAACGCAGACCATCAGACCAAATTGGTCTGATAACGAGACCCATGGCTGCACAGCCCTACTCCTTGACATTTCCCAAATATTGGTGCTACGCCCGAATGACACCCTTTGCAAGCGCTCGTTACTGTTACCATTGCTTCGCTATTTTACAATCATCCCATGCCTTTGCTCATTGTACTGTTTTATTCGATGGCATGGCACAATTCTCTCTCGCTCACTCGATAGCACTCGCTCACATTTGCTATCTCGTAATGCCATTCTAAATGGGATAGGGAGAACGGATATGTATAAAAAAGCGTCGTTTAGGTGTCCTCGTTTTGATCTGGTGGTACTTTGTTGGCCTCGCAACGCAACGACTCGGGGCAGGAGGGACGGATTTTTCGGCTGTAAAATTGCTTCACACGCAAGACAAGCCAATGTTTGGCCCCCTCTCGCAATTTTACTTGCGACGCTGGTTCCAACGGTCCGATGCAGGCAAAAACGCCATTGGCTCGCTGGTTCTGCCCCCTCCGCTAGGCGATTTGTTCGGCGGCGGCGCTTCGGCCCCGCGCTCCGAAAGGAGCTACACGCACGACACGAGGGCCTTTCATCGGGCGCGCACCAAGTCATGACAACCTGCAAAAATAAGGCAGGAAGGAAACGTCAAGTACCCATCCAAATTTAGAAGTACCGAAGCTAGTCCAGCTGAACCCAGAAGGATAATCTCGTTCTTGCCCTTTTGTTACCTCCGAAGGGAGGGCCCCTCAGTTTTCCATTTCCAAAACCTCCCCCTCCCGCTCCCTCGGTTCGGTACACCTCGCACCCAAATCATGAATCACACAACCTCACTCACCTCACTCACACCCTTCCTCCTATGTATGTACGTGCTACTGTACCATCACCACAGCTACACGGGAGTTTATGTGGTGACGACGGCACCGCATTCCAGCAGCACCTACACGCCCAGGTCAGTCCAGCGAATATATCAACCGTTTTATCGCAAATTCTACTTGCTCTGGACTGCTTCAAGATCTAACGGCCATCGTACATCTAGCATGGAGCTTCAACCCTAGCTAGTTTCCTAGCTCCAAACTCTGACATCCTATTGACCTCTGCAGCTAACTACCACTCGGTTATGTCGAACACTTGCCCAAGCTTATACCTCGTAGTTTGATTGTCTTCTAGCGCCGCGATTCACTTTCTCTCTCAACGAGCAAACGCAACTCGCGTCGCTGGGCGAGACGTCGCACGGACTCTACTCCTCAAGCAGCCATCAGTTGTAGTGACGCTCTCACACTTCTTCCCTTGCCGCGTTCATCCACCCGCGCGCCGAAGCACGTGGCCTTAATCGCCTTTTCGCTCCGATCCCTGGACTATGACCGACTCGCGCCAGATGCCGCTTCTAGCGGACGACGGGGCGAGCGGCGCAGGAGCTGGCGGAGTTAAAAATACAAACCTAATCGGCGGATTTAGCGGCGGGCTGAACGGGAGTTTCAAGATGGGCGGAGGCAGGTGGCGGTACCTGGCGGGCGCGGGTGTTCTGGTCGCGCTAGCGCTCTTCGCCCCGCTCGCCTACCAGATGTGGCAACCCAGCAGCGACGTCTCCTTGATCCCCTCGCAGTGGCAAGGTACGGGACCCACGGATTGGGGCATGAGCCGTCAACCTATTCTTGTACCTTCACAACCTCGTGCCTCGTCTGCTTCCTCTGTTATTCCGCTCGTAACCCTCATATCCTCTCCTCCCCATTCTCCGCATCCTTTGCCCCCCTTTCTTTCCCCTTTCTCTTTCCTCAACCTCCTCTGCATCCTTCCCCCTTGCGCAATCCTTCCCCCATGCCCCATCCCCTCCGCGGCCCCAGGCGTCATGCGCCTTTCCACCGCGCCAACCGGCACCGACGCCTGGAGCTCGCTCATATTCTCCGCCGCTAATCCTGCCGGCCGCGCCGCCGTCCTCGGCGGGGAGGCCGCCAGCGGAGAGCCGTGGGATGCGATGGAGGTGGAAGCGTCTGAAGGGCTTTTTCTCGCCGGAGCCGCTGCCGTCATGCCTTCACCCGATGTCGTGTTTTTGGCATCCGATGACGTCAGCCCGCCAGCTGACAACCAAGGCTCGACTGGCGAAACTGAGAGCGTCCCGTCGAACGATAAAGGAGATCGAGAGAGAACTACTAACGAGACGTCTAATACAGGAGACATTAATACTGTCGTTGCGCTTGAAGCCACCGCGGTTACAAGCGAAACTGCTGACAGCGGGGATGGGTTGCGCGGGGAAGAGGGGGAGGCGGAAAACAGGGAAAACAAAACCGGATCTCCCCGCGCGGATGCGCCACCCGCGGGGCCAGCGGACGGGAAAGAGCTGGGGGGGGAAAGTGGCGTGGGAAGGCGGAGAGGGAAGCCGTGGGAGGAGCGGAAGGGGTTTGACGCGGCGCTTCCGCACGCGACGGTGAAGCTGCTGCGGAGAATGGCGAAGGCGGGCCTGCCGATTCCGCGCGACCCGTGGCTGTGCGCGACGCGTGCTGCTGACGTGGAGGGATACACGCGACCATCAGAGTATGTGGAGCAGTGGAGATGGATTCAATGGGGGGGAGGGGGAGGAGGGGGGGAAGGGGAGGGGGTGAATTGTGTGGGTAGCGGCGGGAGGCGTGTGGCAGGTGCGTGATGATTTGAGACGTTTACTTAGACGTTTGAGAGAGAGAAAAACAATCACGTGGCTTGAGGTGTGAGATAGCGAGTGCAGTTATGGCGAGCTTGTGGGGTTGTTGCGGCGATTGCGAGGCGTGCATGCTTCACTGTGTGGCGGTTTCGGGAAGGTGAATGATGGATGGAGCAAGATTCCACCTCCACGCCCCACTTTCGAGCCTGACTGACGAGCATTCCTCTGGCTGCGCCACCATCTGCTCGTGCCACTGCCAAACCTTCTCACCCCTTTCTTGTCTGTTCCCTCCCTTCCCCTCCCCTCCCCTCCCCTCCCCTCCCCTCCCCTCCCCTCCCCTCCCCTCCCCTCCCCTCCCCTCCCCTCCCCTCCCCTCCCCTCTCCTCCCTCCCGCCAACCCTTGCGTCCCCCCCACCCCTGCATCTTCCCCGTGTTCCATCTTCCCAGGGAGGTGAGCGGGCAGTACGTGTTCCGCGGCAGCACGGTGGACGGGGCGGACTGCCGCCTCTTCTACGCCGCGCTCACCACGCCCTCGCCCTTCAACGCCACCTTCACCACCCTCTCGCGCTCCGACCCCCTCCCGCTCCCCCTCCCCCCTTCCGACACCTCTCCCTCCCCCGACTCCTCCTCGTCCTCCTCCGCCCCCGCCTCCCCCTCGTTCCCCTCCTCCTCCGCCGCGGCTCCCCCGATCCCCAAGATCGCCTTCCTCTTCCTCACGCGCGGGCCGCTGCCCTTAGCGCCGCTGTGGGAGCGGTTTTTCCGCAACCACTCGGCATACTTCACCGCCTACATGCACGCCGCTACGCCTGGGTACCGCGTGGAGCCCTGGGTGCGGAAAAACCTCAACCTGCGCGCCGTGCCCAGCAAGCCCGTGTTCTGGGGCACTCTCAGCATCGTGGAGGCCATCAAGGTGAGCATGGGGGAGGCGATAAAAGAACAAGGGGGGCTGTTAAGAGTGCTGCTTGATGCACCAGGATATCCTGTGAGGCATTTCCTTGCTCACAACAGCACCTTGAAAAAAAGGTTGATATAATACTTCACACGTTAATATGTATATAGCATTTTTTTTTCCTTTCTTTTCCTTTTCCTTTCCTTTTCTTTCTCCACCTTGGGTACGGGGATACATAGATACTGCTCCTTGTCCCGTCTTTCAGCCATCCTCATCCCTGTAGCCTCCTGTTCCTTTCTCACCTTTCTTCTCACCTCCCCCATCCCCATCCTCTCCCTCACTCCACCACAACAGCGGCTTCTCGCCACAGCCCTCCTGGACCCGCACAACGTGCGCTTTGTGGTGGTGAGCGAGAGGGACGTGCCGCTGCACGGCTTCCCCACCATCTACCGCTACCTGCTGGCGTCCAACCAGTCGTACGTCGGCGGTTACCGCAAGTTCTTCCGCGACAACAAGGCCGCCATCAAGGTCTTCCCGCGTGAGCTCGTGCTCAACGGCTGGATGCACGGCGAGTGCTGGGTCGAGATGGCCAGACCGTGAGTGCCGCTGCCCCTGACCCAATCCCCCTAAGCCACGTGTACACTGCCCTCTGCTGTCCTGTCATGTACCCTAAAACCAAAATTCTGAACCTCACCCTTCTAATCCATGCATTCATCCCCGCAGACATGCAATGGAGGTGGTGCGGGACTGGGAGTGGCACGAGAAGGGCCGTAACTACTGCGCTGTGATGCAGCGGCCCACATGCTGTGTGGACGAGAACCTCATCCACAACATCATCACCTCCAAGCACCCCCACCAAGTGGCCAACCGCAGCGTCATGAGCGTCGACTGGCAACGCAAAACAGGCCACCCACACACGTACCTCCCGCGGGACATCTCGCCTGAGTCGATTCGGAGCATTCAGGAGGAGTGGCATGAGAACCAGAAGCGGCCCTACTCGCAGCCCATGTTTCTGCTGCCCAAGGAGTCGCAGCAGTTTGTGATGTCCAACCGGCGCTGTACAGTGAGCGGCGAGAATGCCACGTGCTGGCTCTTTGCACGAAAGTTCATTGGGTTGTCGCTGCAAGCTCTCATGAACCTTCCAAGCGACGTGCTTGGATACTAGAAAGTAACTTAAAGCGACGGGCAACTTTTGGCAGTGTTGGGTTCAGAAGTTTATTTTTTGAACCAGGCTTGCCAGCGCGAAAGTGCTGGCTGGCGAAAACCAGGATTTCGTGCGGACACTTTCCATCCGCAGTAACAGTTCGCCAGGGTTCTGGGTTTTGGGTGGCAAATGTGCACCGTCGCTTTAACCAATTAGGGTGCAGCCTATTGCTGCCCCATTACTGAATATGATTAGTAAAATAAATAAAGTGTACGTTTTGAGGTTGCATACAGGGCCCAAAATAGGTTTTAGCTCACTCTTTCAAATCAGGGTGGCATCCCCTCCGTACCCTGACTGGTAGGGTAAAGTTTCTCGTACACTGATTGTAGCAGCCTAAAAGTTTTGGTAAACTGATTTTGGCAGGATAATATATGTCGTACACTGTTTCCTTCCTAAGCATAAGATTGTACTACTACAACAATTACTTAGTTATCACTAAAGTGTTCTGCACTGCACCTACAAGCTTTACTACCAACCAAGTTAAATAAAGGGCCCTACAGAAGACACTAGTCAATCAACATCTGCTGCACTAGCAACTGCCTCGTCTGCAAACTGCTTAGTGCTGCTGGCCTTCATGCCGGAGAAGTCTTTGGTGGATCGCCTGAGCTTCTCCCCGCGGAATATGGCGACCACCTCATACCAGTCAATGTCGTACTGCAGGAGGGAGCACCGCATCAGGTGCTCAAGGCTTGTGTCGCCGAGGCTGCCGCGGTCCCACGTCTTGATCAGGTTCTGCTTGCTGAAGCCGCGCTCACATTCAACCGTGCTCAGTGGTAGCACGGCGACAGACTGCCACATCCGGACGATGTTGGGGAACGACGCACGCCACGCCTCGTCGCGCAGCATGTTCCCCAGCGCCTGATGAAACTCCTCGCCGTTGTGCTGGGAGAACATGGTCGAGGTAAACATCCAGAGCTCCTGGCCGGCACGCTTGTAGTCGAACCCTGGTAGTGCGGAAGGGGATGATCATTGGCAGACGCTCATACATACGGGTAGGATTGGGAGGCATTAGTCCACAATACAGGGCCGGGTGATGAGTAGCAACAAGCGCGATGGGAAACAAGCTGGTGCAAAGCTGTTTACGCAAGTCAATCACTAATACCCGCCCCATCTAACAAACACGCTTACCAGGCAGCTTGTGGTTGTACAGCTTGTGGAGCTGGCCAAGCCACTTCCTGAAGGACTCCAGCCGCTGGGTGTCGTCGGCCACATACGACGCCGTACGAAACAGCTTGGCGCCTTCGAGGAGGTTTAGGTCGCGCATGCGCCACTCCAGCTCCGCGTCCACTTTGCGGATGAACTTGAGCGAAAGCTCGAAGCACGCGGTTACATCACCGTCTGTCTCATGGCCTGGCAGGGGGCGTTCGTGCAGGGTGAATTCGAAGGAGACGGCGTTGCCGTCCGCGTCCACGCCTTCCGCTTTCATCTGTCGCTTATCCATCTTCTGGTGAGCCTTGATGAAGTCAGGCAGCTGCATCTTCTCTCCGCTGCCAAAAAAGTGACCAGGGGACCTGTCGAAGTAGCGCGTCTTCAGGCGCATCCGCGTCTGTTGTACAAGGTGCGCCACGAGGGTGACGTCCACCTGCACACACATAAGACATGCGGTCAGAAAGAGCATTGTAGGCGTGCGTGTAAGTACAACTGTGCTTGTCAGTTGGTTACCTGACGTTGCTGAAAGCGCAGATTGAGCTGGTTGAGCTCCCAGAGCACATCCGCGAGGAAGCGGATGAGCCAGTGGAACTTGAACGAGGTGACTACCTCGTACAAGTCCTTCTTGTAGTCCTTCAGCACGACAATGGCGGCAGGCAGAACGTCAAGGAACCGCTGGATCGCCTCGCCACGGGAGAGCCAGCGCACGTCGTTTATGCCCTGCGCCTCCAGATTCGTCTGGCAGTAGACGCGCTGGAGATTCTGAAACTTGGTGTAGCCCACGCTGCTGCGGCCGATGTGCTCGGAGAAGGCACGCACCACGTCGTCCACCATGCCGAGCTCGGGGACTGCCTCCGCCGCATCCTTAGCTGCCAATGCCTCCCTGCGCATTCAACTGGAGCATGTTAGTACGGTTTGCGCGTCACTGATCCTGTGCTGGAAAAAACTCAGAATCCAACATGCGTACCTGTGAGCGACGCAGTGAGTTGAAGCCAGGTGTGGTATGCGCAGTCGCAGCCTCGCGACTAGACCGTTGTTCTTGCCGGTCATCACACTCGCCCCGTCCGTAGATATTCCAGAAATCCTCTGGAGATCCACCCCGATTCCTGTAAGGTACTGCACAACAGCGGAGGTTAGCGAGGCCGCATCGGCACGGTCCACGGTAATGAGAGTTAAAAACTCCGTTACCGGAGTTACCCCTTTGAAGAATGTCGCATACAGTATCAGGTGCTTGCCATTCACCCGGTCGGTGCTCTCATCCAGAAGAATCCCTATATATGGGGATTCCAGAAGGTGGCCGCGTTGAGTCTCTTGAAGGTAAGTGGAGGTTGCGCGCAGCATCTCTTTGAATCCGTAGCTGCGAGGACAACACACATGGTACACGAACACAAGTTGCAGTAGCATCTGGTCAGCTTGAGTCACGGAACAAACACAAGCGCCACGAACCCGCAGTTACTCGGTGTAGTAGGCGCCGTACCCTCCAGACGGTGGAAGGTCCGGCAGTCCTTCCTTAGCCAGAAACCAGCACAAAGGAACAAACATTGCTATTGGCGCGTCAGCCTTGCAGATGAAGAGCGCGAGGTGGAGGCAGCAGATGATGTGCCGTGTAGCTGCATCAGTGCTCTGCCACCTTGTTAGTGTGGCTTGCTTCGCCTTTTCCGCATCTGCTTTGGCCTCGTTTTCCAAGGCCTGCTTGTGGGCTCTGCTTGATGTGTGCGCGCGGATGCTCCCTAGCTGCATGTCTCGGGCACCCTCACCTCTGACGCCGTAGGCAGTGTGCGCGTTTGGATCCCCGTGCTTGATGCAGATGGCACATTTCAATGACGGCCTGCCGTTAGTCATGCGCATTAAGCGCAGCCAACTGAATTTCTTTGACCATTGCGAATCGAAAGTCGTTTTTACCAACTCATACTCAGCCTCTGCAGAAGCGGTTGGAGGCTTCGGCTGAGCAGGAGCAGCACGGCGTGGCGGTGATGCCTCTTGTCGTGGAGGAGGGGCGCCCCAGAGCCTCTGCTGCTTGTATGTCACGCCCACACGCTGTCGCTTCGCGGGCGCGGAGCTAATTGTGGACGGGGCTGCAGTGGCCGGCTTCGACGGGCCTTCGCCGCCATCGGGAACAAGCTCGAGAGACGGGTGTGGCTCCCGGGACTTTGGCGAGGCCGAACGCTCGCACGGGAAAACGGTGCCGACAAGAAATTCAGGGGATGGCTCACGCGCAGGCTGAGAGATAGGGACGCTATAGTTCTCAGCCAGCCGAGGTAACACACCGAGAACGGAGAGACCGTTCCTGGTGCTACCAGGCAGATCAGGCTCAGAGGCAGGCATTCGGAACAACAAACGAGAGGGAAACGAGAGAATGGCAAGAGCCTGAGAGACCCCTCGGGAATCACAAAGCCCAAGGCGCCTCAGGCAGCAAGGTTCCCTCGCTGGTAGGGAACTGCACGGCAATGGCTGCAAGGCCACAGTGACTGCCAGGTGGTGGAAACGACAGCACGTACCCCACCTGGCGCGCAATTTGCCTCCGTTGGCAGTGCGCGATGTTGCGTGACGCACGGAAACTGGGTGCGTTGGCTTCAATGTCGCTCAACGGACCAATCGTAGGTGTGCGGTGCCATCCGCCCTGAATGTACGTTGGCGCGCCAGTGGGTGTATCCAACAAATGGTCCAGTGGGACCGTGGAGCATTTCGTCGTGGCGCGGACTGTGGCGGAATCCGCGGTACGGAAAAGTTCCGGTAAAAGGGTAGTTGAACCCCTACCCTGATACAGTCAGTGTAACTGGAAAAGCTACAAGAGTACTTTTAAGCGTATTCTGATTGCACTAGGGTAAAAATCTGCATACCCTGATTTGAAAAGGGTAACTGCCAAAAAGTGGCCTATGAGCAGGGCAAAAAGGGTAAAATACCCTTGAAATTTGGGCCCTGGTTGCATATGCTGCTAGCAGCACTGAATCTCTAATGCGATACACATGTATGGAATATGAGCCAAGCCCCTCGTTCATGAAAGAGATTTCCCACTAGGATAGTGCCTTCTTTTGATTTGTCTGCTGGAAAGAGAGAACAGGAACCTTATAAAAATTACTAGTACCAAATGGGAGTTTGAACACATAGTGTAACGTCAAAACCCCGTTGCATACAGCATTGACTAATAAGTGCTTCTATATGGAATATTCACGGGTTATGCTACCTTGTTTGTGTATTCGTCTATCCAGGGTGTACTTTAAGATGTGCATAACACACTAGAGACAACAAACAAATGAGGTTTCGTACAGAAGACGCATTACTGGTCAACATTCAATTTTTGTTCGATTCGCCTGAGAGACATGCAAATCCAGAATACTGTAGTGCATTTGTTTGCACATGCCTTCGTGGACATCGCCCAAGCGGTTACAGCTCGTCGAAAGCTTCGTGAACACTGCTCTGTCTCATTCGTCGTCACCTGCAACCAGGTCACCTTCAGTTCCACTTGATTTTCATTCTCAGTTTCCTACTGTCGAATCCGCGTTAACCCCCGTTGAATGCGGCAGTGCAATTTTTTTTTTTAATTTTGATTGATTGCAAATATGAAGAAGGGGCAGTGAAACAAAGCTGATAACTAAGAAAGAGTTTTCGGGTTGATGACTGATCACAAAATGGCCATACGTTTGAAATATTTTTAGTCAAGACCAGCACAGAGTTTCATGCCTTGTCGGGTGCGGAATAACCATGAAATTACGGTGTGGAAAATGGTGACAAACAGCAGCCTGCGCTGACGTCCCATTTCGCTCCTGCACTCCTGGTTTGAAACTCCATAATCGGGAGATTTCTTTGTTTAG